CTCCCTAATGAGCAACAAGGTAGAAGGTTTAAAGCAGATTTTTTTTTTGAGGATATGGATCCTTAATTTCACCCATTCTTACAAACCTTTAAGTCTAAATTCTTTAATTCTGGTCCTTTAAAAATGTTTTTGAATAGAAATCACACAAAATTTAGCATCTTAAATCAACACATAGATGAACAAGTAGGTAACAGCCTAAAAAAATTACCTGTTTTTCCCCAATAACACCTTATCAAGTTCTGCATCCCTAACAATGAGCTGTCCTCTAAACTTAATTTCTACATAAAATTAAAGCCACTACTCTTTAAAAAAAAAAAAAAAAAAAAAATTCATTTTATTATTTATACAACATTCTACCCGCACACCAAATCTTACTATAGATGGTTATGAGCCACCATGGGGTTGCTGGGGATTGAACCCAGGACCTTTAGAAGAGCAGCAACTGTTCTTAACCTCTGAGCCGTCTTTCCAGCCCAAAGCCACTACTCTTTGTCTATCACTAGCAGTCACTATAAAAAAATAGTCCAGAACTCAACATGTAAGCTTACTGGTAGAGTGCTTGCTATGGTAACAATTACCAACCTTAGGTTCTATCCCCATTACTACAAAGATTAAAAAATATAAGCTGAGACCTACAGCCAAACTTTGGGCAGAGTGCAGGCAATCTTATGAAAGACGTGGGAAATAGTAAAACCTGGAAAGGATAGGAGCTCCACAAGGAGAGCAACAGAACCAAAAAATCAGGGCACAGGGGTCTTTTCTGAGACTGATATTCCAGCCAAGGACATTCATGGAGATAACCTAGAACGCCTGCACAGATGGAGCCCATGGCAGCTCAGTATCCAAGTAGGTTCCATAGTAATGGGAACAGAGACTGTCTCTGACGTGAACTGGTTGGCCTGCTCTTTGATCACCTCTTCCCCGGGGGGGGGGGGGGGGGGGGGGGGGGCAGCCCTACCCGGCCACAGAGAAAGACAATGCAGCCACTCCTGATGATCCTGATAGACTGGGATCAGAAGAAAGGGAGGAAGACCTCCCCTATCAGTGGAATGGTTGAGGGGTATAGGTGGGGTAAAGGGAGGAAGGGTAGGTTTGGGAGGGGACAGGGAGGGGGCTACAGATGGGATACAAAGTGAATAAACTGTAATTAATATTAAAAAAATTAATAAATAAAATGGTGTGGACAGTTCATTCTTACTCTTTAAACTCAATACTGCTGGGGTGTGATGGATATTTTTCTCAAGATTTGTATGGATCGGTCATTAGAGCAACACTAAAGAAAAATGAGTTTCATTAATAGTAAAACTAGGTATGGTGGCACAAGATTGTAAATTCAACACTTAGGATGTAGAGACAAGATCAGGAGTTCAAGGTCATCCTAAAGCAACACAAAATAGTGACCATGGCTCAGATAACCATGGACCTGCATACACTTCCTCCAGAAACTTCATTACCTACAATTCAAATCTGTTTCTAAAACCAAAGTACCAGAATCCAAAACAACGCACACTGTTGCTGTGACTCTACTTACTTCTCTGGTGGTCCTCTCCTCCACTCAGAGTCAGCTTCTGGTCCTTTTCTCCATGTGCCTTCTGAATCTCTATCTCCCCAACGAGAGTCCTGTATCCACAAAGCAAAAAGGTAACATAGTAACAGAAGTTCTAATTCCATCTACTAGAGCATTTTTACTACTACAGCAGTTCACTCTTTTATTAAACAACCTCAAGACCCTAAAATGAGGGGTATACAACTGTAACCTCATCTCTTGAAGGCAGAGGAAACAGGATCAGGAGCTTAAGCCAGCCTTGGCTGTATAAGACCTTAAACTCCCACAAATTAAAAAACTAGGGACTGGAAAGAGCTCAGCTGTTACTGCTCTCTTCCAGAGGATCAGAGCTCAGTGTCAAGCATCAACAAACCACTAACATCAGATGGCTCACAATTATCTGTAACTCCAGCTCCAGTGAATCCAACTACTCAGCATTCATGTGCACATACCCACATTAAAAAAATTTTTTTTTTAAATCAATAAACTGTTTTATTTAAAGCTAAAACTGGTGGAAAGGGCTCACTAAAAGAATGTTTGCCTTTCACTCTTGGAAATGATCACAAAACAAAGGAAGCTGAGACAGAGAGCAGATTTAAGGGTCACACGCTAGGAAAACTGAAAGTCTGAAAGTGAAAGATTATGACTGGAGAGACAGTTAGGGAATCAGAAATGACACATGTACCAATTAAACTTGAACTATGAGTAAGTGAGAACAGATGACCAAGTAGAAGAATTCAAGAGATCGTAGGAAAAAAACCTCAGTTTCATATATAAGTAATATCACCTAGGAGTCTGATTGTATTATACAGCACATTCTGAATGAGGATGGCATAGACCCAATAATTTCTCAAGTGATGGAGACACTGTAAATCCAAACAGGTGAAATGAGAGGATGTAAAGTAGTTAGAGAAATTAAGCCACGATATTATACAAGAAAAGTCACTGCTGTATTTACATGTAATTAAAACAGAAGAAATACACAGGGTCTGGATTCGCTCTCCAGCATTAAAGGAAAAAAAAAAACCAAAAGCATAATTTCTTTACTCACCTTCCTAGAAAGTGGATCATCACCAAGTCTCCTCTCTTCTTCTCTGCGCCTTTCTCTTTCTTCAATTTCCAGCTCTCTTTGCCGCTTTTTCCTTTCTACTTCCTCCAGTTTCTTGACTCGCTCCTGATACTCTCTAAGTTCTTCCTCCCGTTTTGCTCTCTCAGCACGCTCTCTTTCCTCTCGCTCTATGAAATTTTGTCAGGTTACTCAAATGTGCTTTTCATCCATACCTTTCACTTACCATTAGGGCTACTATTCTAGTATAAAGCAGTACCAGAATCTTGGTAAACCGTAAGTCTTAAAGGGAAAAAATATTAAAACATGACCAGCAAGATGGCTCAGCAGGTAAAAGCATTACACATAATCTAAGTATATGCATTTTAATCCTCAGAACCTACATAAAAATGAAAAGAAAAAACTGACCCCTCAAAGTTGGCCTCTGATCTCTACCCGTGCACCCTCCCATACACATACATATCCAATAATGAACAAAAATTTAAAGAAATTTAAAATAGTAGAAAAATCAGCAAATAGCAGTTGTGATTCAAAACAAATGAAACATAAACAACAAACCATCCACAATGCTTTGGGATAACACTAAAATCCAGTCATAGTTTTTAGCAGTCAACACTAATCTAGGCATATTTGAAAGGGAGGAGAGTTGACCTACAAACTGCCTCCATCAGACTGGTCTATGGGCATGTCTGTGGGAACATTTGCTGACTGCTGTGGGAGGCCCACTGTGGGCAGTATCATCCCTGGGCAGGTATGCCTAGACTCCAATTAGCTGAGCAAGTCAGAGGGAGTGAGCCAGGAAGCAACTCTCCTCCATGGTCTTTAATTCAGTTTCTGTCACCCTAAGGGCCCTGGCAGAAACTTTGGCTTCCCTCAGTGATGGACTATGTACGATACGGAATCCAAATAAACCCTCTCGTCCCCCAACCTGCTTCTGGTGAGTGTTTTACCACAGCAACAGAACCACAGTAGGACAAATTCCCGTGTATCCAAAATTCCAGGTATAGAGCCACATATGTAATTATCACGAGATACTAAAACACCAGCAGAAAAAAGTATAAATTTAAAAGTATGTCGGATAATAGTGAAAAAGAGCACCCACACATAAATGTATTGGGTTATCCGTATTGTAAACAGACCAATTATACAGACTCCTCTGTTTTCGAAATAAGATAGTAAAACATGGCATCTAACAGCTACCATATAGTTAAATGGTTACCTTTTAGCATTTGTTCTTCTGCCCTCCTCTGCTCTTCTTCTTCCTTTTCTCTGTAGTAAGTTATTTTGCGTTCTTCTTTCCGTTGTCTTTTCCGTTCTTCCAGGCGATTGTGCCTTTCTTCTGCTAATCGCTCTTCAAACTGTTTCAGTTTTTCCTGTGAATACAACAGTTAGCCCCCCCATGGGTCAACTTTTTCAAGATATAAACCAGCAACAACACTTTTTTCACTTGTAAGTTCACAATCTCTGAAAGCCATAGAAAGCAGCCACCACATAACTAAGAAAGCACAATCTCTTAATGGGTAAAGAAATTTTATCAGTGTCAAGTTTCTAAAATTAAAAATTAATATTATCTACACATTGAACTAATATCACCGAGAGCAGTGTACACATCTTAGGCAGTAGATTCCATTCCTGGTTCCACTCCCTACATCACACACACACGAAAAAATCCTAGTCATTTTATTTGTAACAAAGAAATTGACTAAGAACTTTTTTTTAACAACTTTCTAAAACAATCTTTGATATAGCTCATTTCTTCTTTTTTTTTTGAGACTGAGTCTCTTTACATAATCATAGCTGTCCTGGAACTCAAGATATAGAACAGGCTCACCATCCCAACTCAGATCTGTCTGCCTCTGCCTCCTAAGTGCTAGGATAAAAAGTGTACACCACCACACCTGACCCTGATCTAGTTCACTTCTCAAAAAAAAAAAAACAAAAAAACTAAAAAACATACATGAATCTGGAGCTAGACATGTGATGTGTCTAAAGTCCAACCTCCACCCCAAAAAACCCACATTTCTATCAAATGAGAAAAACCAACTTTCATCTTTGAAAGATTTGAGATCAAAGTATCTCCCAAGTCTTCTATACAAATATTGAATAATTATCTGTTTAACTCAAGACAAAATAGGGCAGTATGTTAAAGGAGAATTCTGAAAAACAAAACAAAAAAAAAATCCTAAAAGCTCACAAACGAACTTTCCCTTAAGCATAGGGAGCTCACCTCATAGACTGATTGCCGGGCAGCTTTGAGCCGCATCACAAATAGGTCTCTGTCTTCCAACATTCGTGACATCCGATTCTTATGTTCCAAAGCTTTTTCTCGTTCCAGTTGCATTGTAGTAATCTGAAAGTGCACAACACAAAGGGTAACCTCCAAAGCCTGTCATTCCTAACTGACTCCAAAGATTCTAACAGACATTCTTTAAAGCTAAAAAGCTTTTCTTTCTCTATTCTATCTTGCATTGAAACCATAGCATCCTAACAGATCCCCAAAACAGAAGGCAGGGACAAAAGGTAAACGAGTCCTAAAAGGTTTAGAGGACACAATTTAGTTTTACTGGAAAATAAGGCAGACTTTCTTCTCAGCCCTATGAAAATGCAGAAGCTCAGACTGCCCTAAGCTTTTGATCTGCAACAGTTTTCAGTAATTACCTAGTTTAAATACTTATATCTAAGAAGTATCACAAAAATCCCAACTTATCCACTAAAAATAAACAAATAACTGGCAACACAAGGCCTATAAATCTTGGGATAGTACTCTTGAGACAGCAGGTGCTACAGGACCTCACAAGTATGCCCTTTCTCTCATTTTTTTTGTGCACATAAGGCTGTAACCTACAGTATATTAAGCCTCTATTGTGAACATTTCTCTTATGACCAATAGTAGTAAGCAGCTGTTTAAAACACTATTTTTAGAAAAAAAATTCAAACTTTCACTGGCTGACTCTAACTTAACTTACAGTCTATGACACCACAATGAAATGAAAACCTTACTCTTTCTTCTTCTTGTTGTTCCCACAGATCCATGTCTTTAACCCTTTGTTCCTCATAAGCACTCTTTATCAAAGGAATTTCTTCCAAACGTTTAGCTCTTTCAAAATAGTCAATCTGAATGAGATAGAAACAAATGCAGTTTTACATATTTCAATTTCAAGACAGGGTTTCTCTGGCTGCCCTGGAACTTGTTCTGTAGACCAAACTGGCCTCAAACTCTAGATACCTACCTGCCTCTGCTTCACAGGTATGGGATTAAAGGTATGTACCACCACTACCTGGCCAAAAATAACTCCCTTTTTATTAGCAATCCCATTAGGCAGGAGGATCAAGAGTTAAAGGCAATCCTCAGCTGTAATGTAGTTTGAAATCTGAAGATCCTGTTTTATTTTAAAAATAAAGAAAAAATAATAATCAATACATCCTCATTTACCTTCTTTTCTTGATTCTTCAGGCGTTCCTGAAGTTCCTTCTTTTCTTTCTCTAGTTGTTCAACCTGTTTGGCCATGATAAAATCTGGATCCAATTCTTCAAGGTCCTGATAGCAACACAAAAGCAGAATCGTCATAAGAAATTTACTTATTTGAGACAAGGCCTTTTTCTATAGCCCTGGCTATCCTGGAATCCACTACGTAGAGCAGGCTGGCCTTACACTCAAGAGATTCACCTGTCTCTGCCTCCCAAGTGCTGGGATTAAAGACACTCCTGGCTATAAATATTTTCATAATTATGAGAGAAGAGTATATGTGCATTTGAGCAATGATGCCTCTATTATGAGAGAAAAGAATATGTACATTTGAGTAATGATGCCTGAATTTCAGAAGTATTGAATATAGCTGGAACTAGAATAGGTCGTTGTAAGCCACCTAATCTGGGTGCTGGGAAGTGAACTTAGTTGAGTTCCTCTAGAACTCAACTCATATCCGTAATCATTAAGCCATCTCTCTGCAGGCCACAAATTAGAAGACAAATATGACTATCAATCAGCTAAACTGGCTGCTTTCTAGAATCAAATCCTACAATACTGTAAGCAGGTATTCAGTTAACAAAATTAACCAGATGGAAGTTTAAGAGTAAAGATGCATCTAATGGCTGATGTGCTACATACTTCAATGTCTATATCTTTGAATGCTTTGGCACCCAGTTCTGTCTTCTTGATCTGCTCTAGCCGCTCTCGAACAGTTTTTTTCTTAATTTGCTCATGTTCCTGAAGAATTCGTTCCTTTTCTCGCTCCTTTGCCTCCTGACGAAGCCTCTCCTCTTCAGCCTTCCGTACTTTCTGAAGTTCAGCTTCCCTCTGCTCTAGTTCTTCTTTCTCACGTTGGATATTCAGACTTTCAAGACGCTCTTTCCTTTCCTCAATTGTCTGTCGGCGAGCCAGAATCCGCTGATGTTCTTTTCGTGAATTCTTAAGATATGCAGTAACCGCCAACTGATGTTGTTCTTCTTTCTCTTGCTTCAAAAACAAATGCATTTAATATGATCATCAATGTACCCTGCTATTAGATAGCAATAGTAAAAACAATTGTGAAATACTGGCTTTCCACAAATATGCATTTAATAATAGATAATGTAGTATAAACTACTGTGGTACTACAGTTATTTAGTCTCTACAAACACAGCCTAAAACACTATTTGCTAGTCTATCATTGTTCTTGGCATCAAAACTATTGTTTTAAGCCAAGAAAAATCATATACAGACCTTATCAACAATAATGTAGTAAGAACACAATCACATCAACAACTGGGCCAAAGTCATAGTATACGTAGTCTGCTGTCTTATATAACAACCTATCATTACTATATAAGCCAAGAGAAATTACTTATACTACTGAAAGGCAGTTCAATGACTTGTCTTGGCAAAGGCATCACAAACATGAGTAAATAGGAAATCATCTCAAACCATATTCTGAAAGATGTATTCAAGTCCTTTAAAACTTTATAACTCATATCCCCTCTAAACACACATACCAGAATGTGAGTGGGCTTGATGACCTCAAGTGCTTTTGCAAGCACTGAGGACATTGCTGTGAGTTGATTTCTTATTTGTTCTGAAGGCATGCTCTGCAGATGAGGACCAATCGGGGCATCTTCTCGAGTTGCATAATTCAAATCTGATCCAAAACTCAGAGTCCGAGAAGTGTGGTCAATACGAACCTTTGAAAATTAAATTATGAGTAACCAAGCTTATATATTACCCACTGAATTTTTTTTATGGTACCCTTGTACCAAAAGCAGAGAAACAAAAGATCTGTGTCTTTCTAGTTCTCAAAGATCTTCTAACTTGCCACCAGTGCTAATTTATAACACATACCTGCAGGTCACAGTGCCTGGCTGCATCTACTATGGCCCGTTCCAGTTGGAAAGCATCAACAAAAGGAACCAGAGAAGTCAAACGAGAAAACTCAATGCTCTGATATATCTGTGCCACCTGCACAAAAAAAAAAAAAAAAGAAAAGAAAAAAGCCACAAGATTAATAACAGCTACTACTTAATCACACTTTTTATGTGCAATTTCATGGCAACTACAGGAAGAAGATATTATGCCCACTGTTCACAAAGGGGGAAAAAAAACTGAAGTTCATTCAATTCAGGTTAGCAATAAACTAATATAACTGGAGTTTCAATCCCAGGCTCCAAATCATATGCTATAACCACACTGTACATAACCATCTTCTGAATTCCTGGTACCATAAATCAAAAAAACCTAAACAGCTTGCTACTTACCTAATATAAATACTTCCAATTACTTTTTTTTGTCTGAAGGAGACTGGCAGCATTACTACATATAGTTATTCTGCTAATTAACCTTCAACTATTTGTATAGCACATAAGAAATAACCCTGCTCCCATATTAAAAAGAAAGCAGGTCAATGAAATGTGCAAACACACCACCAAATGAAAATAAAGTACAAAGCACTTAAACACTAACAAACTCCATCACTGAAAAATAGTCTTAACAATAGACTAACATGACAAAACCCAGCGTGAGCAAAAGCATTTATTACTGGTAAGACGCTCTACTAATTTAATCTCAGGAGCTGCTAAAGTTTTAAATAAACTGTATGACTAATTCCACATATGCTACAAAAAGTCTCACTCAAGTGCAAACGTACATGCATGTTAAGTGATACTGTTAACACTTTCTAATGGGGAAACCCTAAAAGGGGCTCCAGCAGCACTCAAAATAGGTGTTTTCATTAGTATTATCTGAAAAGTGTGCTATAGAACTTTCAGACTATGAAAAAATCATGTAAATAGGAAGCTAAAGAAATAAGGCAGACCTATATTAACAAGGAATCAGGGCCAGGCTTAGTGATAAACAAGTTTAATCCCAGGACTTGGGAGGCAGAGGGAGACAGTGGCAGGCACACGTCTGTGTGATCTAGGCCAGCCTGGCCTACACAGTGAGTTCCAGGATATTGAGAATGGTAGTGATAGTTTGGGGGGGGGGGGGGAGTGCGTGACAGCAAAAGGTATACCCTAAGGAATACATAAGAGTATTTGACAAAGAAAATTAGGGGAAGACGGAAGAACAATTTTTAAGTCATTGACTCTATTTCAAAATTACAAATACAGAAATTTGGGCAGGAGTGGAATTTGGAATAGCTTGTACTTAACTAATTCTAATTTTTTTTTCCAGTTTTGTTATCAAAATAAAGAGTAAAGTGGCTATGGAGGGAAGATTCCGAGGCATCCAGCCTAGCTAAATTGCGAGCTTCAGATTCAGTGACAGATGATCTCAAAATACTAGATAAGACAGTAACAGAGGAAAGACAACCAATGTCCATCTCTGGCCTCCATATACTTGTGTGCACTTGTACAAAGCAATTGTGAATACAGACACTACCTGATACATACAGAGTCAAGGGCAGAAATCTCAGTTTCTCCATAAAGCATTTGCTTGAATTTTACCTGTTGCAGAAGGCGGAGTATGGTATTGTTCTGTAGTTGTGGTACATATTGTTGTAATTCTGGTTCCTTTTCAGGTTGTTCCCTAACCCAATTTAATACCTATAAATCAATTAAATTGAGAAAAAAAATTACAATTTATATGGACCAGACACAAAACTAATTCACATTCTTTCAACTTCTTTATATATTACACAAAACAGCATCTACTATATATAAAATTCACCGAACACTTGTCTGAAGGTGACTGACAGCAATGGCTAAAATAGTCATGCTGCTAATTTACCTCCAAGTTTGTTTAGCACAACAGAAATATCTTTTCTCTTGATGTGAAAGAAAAAAGACAATAAAATGTGCATTTCTCAACACACAGAGGAACAACAACAACCACCTTAAACACAATGCTCAACTGCAGTAATGCCATCCATGGAGTAAAGACCAAAATGACCATGCAAAGGCCTACCTTTGTGACTCTCTCACAGAGTTTTAGAGGGTTGAATTCTACTTCCAACCAGTTGTAAAGGTCTTTCACTTCTGGGACAACATATTGTAGTACATTAAATCTGACCTATAATAAGAAAAGCAAAGTTTAATTGCTAAAAAAAAAAAAAAAAATCCCTCTGAGATTCTGAACTGACAATAAATTAAAAGTAGATTATCTGACCTCAATTTACTATAAATTCAAATAACCAACTATAATATCCCAATATTGTTTCTATTTATAATTAACAGTGAAAAATACTGAAAATCATAAACTGAACAGTAACATGCGATATTTGCAAAGACAACTACAATGGGCAGCACAAGATACATATCTAAAAAGACAAAATAATAGGGCTTACAAAATAACTTACAGAAGTAACACAAAAATTACCAGGGCAGCTCTGTTCTTAAGAGTCAAACAGGGAAAGTTCAGTGTCTACTAACAGGACAGTGCCATATTTATTTAACAAACTCTGGTCTCCTCTACCATCAGGTACTACATACACGTGGCCAATCATATTTAGATAATACTAAAAATAATAATAATAACCTGCATACTTTCCTCATGTCATTATCACCTAATCGTGCATTACTATATACTTATTCTAAATAATCTGGAGATTATATTTCAATTTTATATGAATTTAGGCATAGATTACATGCAAACACAACCACCATCCTATTTCAGACTACTAGTGTACTACTGCATTTTGATGTCCAATGGGATCTGAACCAGTATAATTCAGACACTAGGTATAACTGAAAACTGTACTTAACTCATCATATATCCTGATTAAGAACTACTGCTTTAACAAATTGCCTCAAATGAACAAGATATCCATTTCATCAGTGGTTCCCTGTCCACACATTAGAAGCCTGACAATGAATCTGAATTCCCACTTTTTGATCATGAATTAAAACTCACCAAGTTTTCTCTCCAAAGCAATAAATGTTCACTCATACTAACCATATCATTAATAAGGCCGATTCGTGTGGGTGGGGCTTGAAGACCTAGCAGTGTTGCAAGGCGTCGCTGCTTCTCAACTATAATACCATCCATATCCAAAAGTCGAGCAATGTCAGTTCGCTCAGGAGTAATAGGAATGGAAAGAGTTGCCAAAAGGACTCTAGTAGACATCCTGTGGTGAAGAAAGTTTTATTTGTTGAGATTGTAAATGTGTTTCTCTTTAATTATATATTGTAGGCCAGAGACAGAATATATGTAGCACATGAAAACTGAACTTCAAGGAAATGAATCCTGTATACTCAATCTCAACACTTAATGTGGCTCAACAGAAGTAAAGACACACTTCGTTACCAAAATTAAAGGTAGCTTTAGAAACTAAGAAAATAAGACTTTAAGTAATTAAACACAATTATGACAGAGAAGGAAAGAGGAGAGAAGAGAGAAATTTTCACTTTCCTGAAACACGAGAAAATCTGCACTATAGAATGCTAAGTAGCACAGCTTCCGTGCCCAGGAGACTTAGTAACATACACAGGATTAACTTATCTGATGCTGCTAACCAGTGTTACAGCATTCATGGGAAAAACATTATTAACACCATCAAGGAAAACCATTTAGTTGATTTCATATTCCTCTATAAAACTAAGAAAAACAGATACATGTGAAAAAAGCCAGTTTACTAATACAAAGAATAAGGTGATATGTGAATTACCTAATTTGTGCAAGGCAATAGGTTCAATTACTTCCTTGACCAAAAAAGAGAGAGACAGGGAGGGAGGGAGGGAGGGAGGATAAAGCAACTAAAAACAAACCAGCTATGTAAGATAGGGTTTGTTGTGGGTTTTCATGGTTGGAGTCCTGCTATACATAGTTTTAAGACAGTCAAAAACTGGCTGTGTATTTTAAGCTAGTTTTGAACATTTTGATCCTCCTGTGTTTTCACGACAATCTTACCAAATATTCTCCGTTTTATGATTCATGTTTAAAATGATTACTTTTTGCCAGGCAATGATGGTATATACCTTTAATCCCAGCATTCAGTAGGCAGAGCAGGCAGATCTCTGATTTCGAGGCCAGCCTACTTCCTAGTCTACATAGCAAGTTCCAGGACAGCCAGGGCTACACAGGGCTACCTGGTCTCAAAAGCCAAAAAAAGAAGAAACAAAAAAGCCCAAGACTTTTATTTTTTAACATGTAACAAAAGAAATAGACAGAAATTGAATTTCAAATGTTTATCTTTTCCCAGGTCTAGTGATGTAAGCTGTTTTTAAAAAACAAGCAGTAACAATGAATGAACCACACGTCCAAGTCAGCCATTCAATCCTTAAGAGTATGCAGAGCCTTTCCCTCCCCCAGGAAGGATACTACACTGTTGATAGTAGGTCAGTGTAATACATTCTTACTTAACATACTTTTCACCTTACAGTGGGAATACCAGGGTATAACACTGCAAGTTAAGATCTGCTTTATACTACAGTTAATGCTTGGTAATTAGAAAGAACTTGATGGAACTAATTAATTATGCAACTTGCTATAAGAATAGAATCTACCAAGACACAGTAGAAGGTTCACACGTTAAGACTACCTTTATGAACACACAGTTTTCTCAATTGGATTTCTGGTGGTATTTTTTCATCAGGTAGCAGAAGGGGTAGAAAAGGGCTCAAGAATAAGGAAAGCAACATCTTGGAAACACTTGGTAGTAACAACTAGATATTGCTCCTGGCTCCTAAGGAGCAGGGATACTGCTAAATATCCTACCAGGCACTAGGCAGTACCAGCAATACACAACAGTGTTTAGCCAATCCAAAATGTCCAAAAGCTAAGAAACCCTGGCTTAGAGCATACTACCACTTAATAGTTTAATTTCACTACTATCCAACTATAATATTCTTACCTTTGCATCTCATCTTGTGTAAGATTCTTTCTCATTTCTCTAGACAGATGATAAAGACGATGAAGTGTAGATGCATGGAACAGAGCATTTCCAGATTTCCAAAACACTGTTGAAACTTTGTTATAGTAATTTGCCATCAACTGAGGCTTAGGTGGTTTTTTAGACAAGGAAAATAATCCATGAATATCTTCCACAGCTTTGAAGGCTTCCTAAAATGTTAAGATTAGTTAATTCTTTATTAATTAAACAAATTATAATCACTGAATTAAAAAAATCAAGTATAAATCTTTTATGAAACTAAATCATTATAAATAAAAATAGAAAATAAATTGCCTAACAATTTCTCTAGAATTTGTCTGATAAATGAAACTGTTATAATTACTACCTTATTTTTATAGCTTTGTATTGTTACAAAAGGCTATCTTTGAAACCTTTAAACAACTTAGATAATAAAGTGTATCATAAGAAGAAAATTTTTGTGTATTAACATACTACTTGGAGCAATATAAAGGAAAAATCAGCAAGTAGAAACAATAAAATACAGGTGATGGGGGTGGAGAAGCTGGGGGCAGAGAGGGAGGAGAAACTGGTCGGGATGTAATATATAAAGAGAATATATCAATCATAAAAAACAAAGAATCCATGTGATTCTAAGTGGTGGCACAATGGATGAAATTTTCTTTGGGCTTATCCATCTTTCCTAATACAGTCATGTTTGCTTGTCCCTTTAGAAGGAGGAATTCAAGATGGATGTCCCTATAAAAAAGAAAAAATACTATGGGCAAGAGAAGAAAATTATTTGCCCGAAAACTAGCAATTTTTTAGTTAATCCTTTGTAATTTCAGTTGACTCTTTTATATTAAATATAAAAGCCTTTATGTTATAAAGCTACAAACGGATGTGAAGTATCATAAAGGGGGGAGGAAAAAAGGCCAGGAAGCTTTTCAGCATTGTCATCTCTAAAATGCGTTATTCATGATGTATGTATATTAAAACAGCACTTCTCCAAGTACAGAAAAGGTCAAGTGTGCGGTTTTAATGTCCAATCACCAACAAGTGCTCATAAAAGCCAATAAAGTTACATTGTATTATCATATTAAACACAGTATTAGAGAAAACTTTTAAAAAATGTTATGTTTATCGGTGTTTTGCCTGCATATTTATGGAAGAGTGGGGTGGGAGGGGGTTATCAGAAGTTCTGGAACTAGAGTTACAGAAAGGTTTTAGTTGCCATGTGCGTGCTGGGAATTGAACCCAGATTCTCTGGAAGAGCAGCTAGTGTGCTCTTAACCACTGAGCCATCCTTCCAGCCCAGGAAACTGCCATAGTCTTTGTAGTAGCTAAAGACACTTAACCCCAGCACTCAAAGAGGGAGAGGCAGGCAGATCACTGTGAGTTCAAGGCCAGCCTGGTCTACAAAGTGAGTCCAGGACAGCCAAGGCTACACAGAGAAACCCTGTCTCAGGAGGGAAAAAAAAAAGGGAAGAAGAAGCTAAAAATGTCATCAGTGGTGTTGCACATGCTTACCATTTGGAAGGCTATGGGTTTAACTACCAGCACCAGAGTTGGAGATTTAGCTCATTAAAGTACTGGCTTACCAAGTTAAGGCCCTGGGTTTGGTACTTAGTACAAAAGGGCATGCACACACAAACAGGTACTAACTCCCCACACCAAAACCAAACAAAATTGGGGGGGGGGGACAGCAGTAACAACAAAAACTCCTTCATATTTGCAATTTTTCTCCATCGTTTTTTTTAATCAGACTCACAAAATGGTACCAGTCATAGAACCACATTTTGAGCAGCAAAAACCATGATACAGGGTCTTTTTTTTTCCATAAAAATAAAAAAAAAAATTCCAAGTAGATTAGGAACTGAAATTAGAGCTCTTCCTGCTCTGTCAAACAACCTTAAATTCTCACATTACCTACTAAAATTAACCAGTAATACTCAAGAGGCGGAAGGAAATGGTACAAAACTAATAAATAGTTAACTTACCTGCCATAATTCCATGCTAATAGCACTGTCCAACTGAACAAGTCTGGTTTCCAAATGCATGGACTGGCTCTCTGGATTATTAAGATTGATTGCTGTGCTTTGGTTATGGTGGCGCTGAATCTGTGATAAGTGCATTCGCAAGTTGTCACAGAGCTTGCGGAACTCAGCCTTGCGAGTATACTGGAGGCAGAATTTGAAAGCTGTAAGCATAATTGTCAAACAAGAATTAGATATTTCCTGTCAACTTAAATATCTGAGTAAATTTTATGGGTCATATATTAAGATCAACTTTAGCAAGATTCACTAAACTCACCATTACTCTGTGTTATAGAGGATTCCTTTTTTGTTTTCAAGACAGGGTTTCTCTGTGTAACAGAGACGTGACTATTCTAGACTCTTTCTAGACCAGGCTGACCTCACTGAGATTGTTTCTGCCTGTGCTGGGATTAAAGGCTTGTGCCACCACACCCAGCCTGCTACAGAGTTTTAATTCCTTCCACGTACCTACCTATGCCTCTACTCTGAATCCTAAGCAAATCAAAACACATGATCATCAGTCCTGGCCCAAAACATAGTTTTAGAAATTTACAAATACACACTCAGGAGATGGAGAGATGGCTCAACATTTGCCTACTCCAGAGGACCCAGGTTAGATTCCCAGCACCTACATGGCAGCTAAGGGCCATCTGTATGTAATTCCAGTTCCAGGCAATCAGTGCCCTCTTCTGGCCTCTGCAGGTACCAGGCAGGCAATGCAGGTGGTACAGACATTTATACAGTTAAAATACCCATACATAAAAAATAATTATTTCAAAACAAATTTAGAACTCATCATCAAACACCTGTAAGAACAGAAACTGCTGGGCTGAAACACAATGAACTTTTACTGTACATAAAAAGCAACATGCTTTTGTACTATTTTCAACTACAGAAACAGAAGGGCATATGAAATGAACTACTTACTCTATCATTAAAATACACAGCTAACAGTACTTTTTGGGATGCCTTTGCTCTTAAAAACAAATAACATTTTGCTGAGTGGTGGTGCACACCTTTGACTTCAGAACTCAGGAGGCAGAGGCAATTAGATCTCTGAATACATAATCAAACAGTATTTCTATATTAACATACCTAAAACAAGCCGTTTGAATTAACCTCAACTCAATATTTTTATTAAATCAGAAAAACACAAAGTTTCTTGTGGGACAAATATTCACATGTCATACTTGCAAATAAACACAGGATCCAATATTCCTACTAAAAGTTATAGTTGAAAATTACCAACACATAAAGAAATTCTGATCCAGGTGTGGTGGATGAGTGCCTATAAATCCTCGGCACAAGGAAGAGAGAGGATTAGAAATTCAAGACTAACCTAGCCTGGTCTACTTAGGAAAACAAGACAAAACACAAAACAAACACAGAAAGAAATTAAGAAGGTAATAATCGTTAAGACTGACAATGCAGGGGCTAGAGAGATAGCTCAGTGGTTAAGAGCACTGTCTGCTCTTCCAAAGGACCGGGGTTCAATTCCCAGCACCCACATGGCAGCTCACAACTGCCTGTAACATAAATTCCTAGGGATCTGACACCTTCACACTAATGCACATAAAATAAAAATTAAATAAAGACTGACAATGCAAGCTTGTAAGAATAAAAAGCAAAACAAAAAAGTCAAGTAGTCACTCAGTTACAAGGCTACATTCACTGGAGCAAAGAATGCTGTCAACCTAGTCCTTTTAGAGTTAGGGTGTGTACAGAAAGGCAATGAAGTATGAAGTAATCTATGACATCAATAGTAAGCAATACTGCTTAACTAGGTGTAGTTGCTTAAGAGTAAGAAATAGGGGAGCCAAAGAGATGCCTCAGTGGTTAGGAGTACTGGGTGCACTCAGGAGGCAGAGGTAGGTGGATCTCTCTGAGTCTGAGGCCAGGCTGGTCTACAAAGAGAGTTCCAGGACAGCCAAAGTTGTTACACAAAGAAACCCTGTCTCAAAAAATGAGCACTGGATGCTCTTGTAGTGATCCTGAGTTCAAGTCCCAGCAATCAAATGGTTGCTCACAACCATCTATATATAAAGGGATCTGATGCCTTCTACTAACTTTCAGGTGTACATGAAGACAAAGCATTCACATAAAAAAAAAAAGAGAGAGAGAAACAAGAATGAGAAATACAGTGGGCATATTGGTGTGTGCTTTTAATCCCAGCGCTTAGGAAGTAGAGACAGGCAAATTTCTGAGTTCAAGGCCACCATGGGTATGAATTCCAGGATAGCCAGGAATAGAGAAAAACTGCCTCCCTGATAGATAAGGATTAGATTAGATAAATAAGTGTGTGCAAGTAGAAAGGACAGATAAGAGACTTGGGGGTGGAGGGTGCTAGCAAGGCACTATATGCGACGTGGAACCAAGAGGAAGCACTATCTGGTATTTGTGAGGAGACAGGGTAAACACAGAGAAGGCAGGGACTGAGTAATATGAGGACGGTGATGATCATGAAATAATAACATGAAAATTAAGCCTATTATTCTGTGTGCTAACCTTAAAGTCAAATTTTCAAATCAGTTTATTTATATTTCACATTGTCACTTTACCTTGCTGGGCAATATCATGATAAAGACGCTCTACTCTAGAATTGTTTCGAAGAAGGTCCAAGCACTGCCTGTATGATTCCCACAGGAACTTGACCCAGGGAGTCAGTAGCAATCTGTCAGTGCGATCCTGGGTGTCTTCCCCACTTACTGCACTTAAGAGAACACTACAAAGAAAAATGCAAAGAAAATTATTCTAGATGATTTCCTAACTTACTGAGATCAGAAAGCCCAAACTAACAATGAGCACATACAGAATTTCTTCCCACAACCTCATATACACTTCAGCTGTTCCTTACCATCTGCATCTGAATTCTCAGTCTGTATTACAACTGTCTAAACTTTATACTACATGTTCTATCCCAAGGCAGAATTTTAAATATTGCTTACATGTTTGCTGAAGTATACACTTTTGTAAGCCACTATGTGGCTGCTGGGAATCAAACTCAGGACCTCTGGAAGAGCAGTCAAGTGCTCTTAACTGCTGAGCCATCTCTCTGGCCCCTGAAGTATATACTTTTAAACTTCAAAGATAAGTGCCATGTAAAGAAAAACACTGCGCTAACTATCAAAATATTTACTATGATTTAAACTCACATACCTCTCAGGAGTCTGAATATTATCCAGATCTTCTATATCTAACACCATTTGTTGGGACTCTTCTTTAGCAGCTTCTGTTTTTTCCTCTGCTAATTTCAAATATGCCCTAACAACGTCTTCTAAAGATTTAATGTTTACCTACAGAAAGAAAAATGAATTTATTTTTCACCAACGAACCAAAAAGTTTAAAAAGCAAATCTTAAGGAATAAAATTTAACTTGAAAGGTAAACTCCTCTAAAAGGTTACTAAAAGCACTTTAAAAATAAGCTCAGTACCTGCTGACAAATGTTCTTATATTGATATAACCCTTCCTTAGCCAAATGGCTCTTACGAAGATCCACACACAGTTCCAAGTATTTCAACATAATTGGTTCATGTATCTTCTGCCATGTTCTGTGCTTCTTACTTTTCATAACATCATAAAGAACATCCAGGGCAGGCTGCTTTTTGCCAACCTCAAGAAATTCTGGAAAAAAAAAATTAAAGTTAGCTGTACACCATTATATAAAAATCTAAATAACTGACCAAGGATATGACTCAATCAACAGGTAAAGGCCACTGTGCCAAGCCTGTTTTATCTCTGGAACCCACTCTTGAAAATTGTCCTGGGACCTCCACATGCCTGCATGGCCCTCACTTGCACAAATAAATAAATGTAAATCTAAATCTTGCCTCTTTGCTGATTGCTTTAATTTCTAGCTCATTCCCAACTTTTTTCTTAACACATTTGGTTTCTAATAGCAAGCCTATAATCGTTCGATGCATAATGACAAAAAGATTAGCATTACCTCAGAATATAGTGTTCACGTGGAACTCTTGGTGATTTTAAAATTCCAGTAACTGAAATCATGGACAGGGGAATCTCCCCTAGTAACTAAAAGTTCAAGTATCGATTCATTACATTTCTGTGGCTGATTAAATATCTAGGTGTTCATGATAAGGAGTACATTGTCTTTACTAACTACTTTAAGACCAGTTGACTACAGGGCAATGGTGGCACACACCTTTAATACCAGCAGTGGGACGGATCTTTGTGAGATCAAGGCCAGTCTGGTATATAGAGGGTGGATCTTTCTGAGTTCAAGGCCAGTCTTGGTCTACAGAGTGAGTTCCAGGACAGTCAAAACTATACAAAGAAACCCTTTCTTAAAAAAACAAAAAATAACGAGTTGACTACATTTAAATGGGTTTATTTCAGGGTTTTGCTCTCCATCCACTCTCAAAGAATCTAGTGAAGTCTTGGAATTAAATACTACCTTTTGGGTCAGTTGGGTCGTTGTCTAACATAAGTTAGAGACTTTCCATACAAATTTTACAACCATCTACAAAATAGCTTGCTAAGATTTTGACTGGAATCACACTGAATGGTTACAGATGTGACAGTCCATCCACTGCTACTACATAAATGGCCATAGAAACACACACCAAAAAAAAGACAAAGAGACTAACTAAAAAGCGGGTTCATGGGTCTGGAGAAGACGGCTCAGTTATCTGAGTGAGTCCTAGCATCACCATCAGGCAACTCACAACTAACTACCTGTTAACTTTCAGGTCTAGGGGATACAGCTTCTGACCTCTTCCAACACTTTATACACACAATATTCTTTTTTTTTTTAATTAATTTTTATTAAGACTGTTCATGAATATTTTTAACCAGCAGAAATAAGAGAAATAAATGACTGATTTTGGTAAAGTACCCAAGATTATGTTATATTTAAACATAATTTGAGGGTAAAACATTAGTTTTACTACATCTACATTTTTTAAATGTTTATTTTCCTCCTAAAGAATAGTCTTAACTCAGTGGTGGGCTCTTTGACACCCCCACACACAGGGAGGAGCAGCTCTGCTAGGCCAGAGGAGGATTTTGCAGCCAGTCCTGAAGATACCTGATAAACCAGGGTCAGATGAAAGGGGAAGAGGTCCTCCCCATCAGTGGACTTGGAAAGGTGGAGGGAGATGAGGGAGAATGGGATTGGGAGGAAATGAGGGAGCGGGATACAGCTGGAATACAAAGTTAATAAACTAATATAAAAAAATAAAATAATAATAATAAAAAAAGAATATTCTTGGCCACTCTGGGGAGCCAGAGGCAGGTGTGAATTCACAGCCAAGCTGCCAGCCTGGTCTGAGTCCAGGACAGCCATGGATATACAAAGAAACCGTGTCTTAAAAACAAAAATGAGAGAGAGAAAATGAAAGAAAATAATAATCTTGGGGCCAGAGATAATAGCCCACACCTCTAATCCCAGCAAGGAAGCTGGGGTAGACCTCTTGTGTGAGTTTGAGAACAGCCTGGTCTACACAGCAAAACCCTGCCTCCACCTTCCCTAAAACAAAAAAGGTGGGGCAAGGTGCCTTTAATCCTATACAGAGGCATCTCTGGTCTATAGAGTGAGTTCCAGGACAGTCAAGGCTACCCAGGGAAACCCTGTCTCCAAGGGGGGGAGGGATCCCCAACCCCCCCCCCCACCCATTAACCTGAATTTTGGATGAAGAAGCTTTGCCATAAACCAATCATGTTAGAAGCCCTTGCTTCAATCCACAACACCATTGCGGCTGGAACACTTGTTGCTCTTTCCGAGGACCCAAGTTCTGTCCCCAGCACCCACATGGAGACTCAATCATTCCAGGAGATCTGATACCCTCTCTTCTGAACTCTGTGGATATTAGACACATACAGGCAAAACACTCACACATAAAACGCCAATGAAAGTTTATTAGAGAGTTTATTAGATCTACAGGTTTAATGACTGATTTCAGGAATGGTACTTCCCAGTTCTTCCAGTTAAAATACTGTTCCAGCTCTCCCACACACTAAGTTTATACCTGAACAAATCATACAAGGTATCAAAAAGTAAGATTTTTAGAACAGTGGGTACTACTCTTCAAGGACCTGGTTTCTATTCCCAGCACCATGAAGCTCACATCATCAGTAACTCCAGTTCCAGGGGATTCAATACTCTCTGACACCCTTTTCTGAGCTCTGAGAGGGGCACTATTTGCACATAGTTATAGACATACATGTAGGCAAAACACTCAAAGTTTCTTTTTTTAAAAAAATTCTAACAGCAACATTAAAATGAAATGTTATACCTAACTCCCAATTTTATACTAAGGATTTAAATTTCAAGCTATTAAGTACTTTCAGTATAAATATAAATCAAGTTAGTTAAGGACTGAACCCCTAATTAAATAAAATACAAAACACTGGAAATGTAAGATTAATCCACAATATGTAATTTGTAAATGGGAGGTTTCTTTACTTTTTACTTAACATTTTTATTACCTTATTTGTATGAGTGTTTTGCCTCACATGCATGTCAGTTGAAGATGGATTCCCATTCAGTTAGAGTTATAGTTGATTGTGAGTCACCATGTGTGTGCTGGCAGTTGAACCCAAACTCTACCCCAAAAGTGTAATTTCTTAATGTAACTTTTAAAGTCTTGCTAAAGAAGCTTGATGTGGTAGAATCAAATCTGTACCATTATTAGCACTGAAGGAGGTTGAAGCAGCAGGATCAAGTTTGGAGACAACCTGGGCTACCTAATAAGGCTCTGCCTCAAAAACAAAAACCCTACAAAAGTAAATAAACTGTTAATGACAGAACTAAGAATCATTTTCTACTTTCAGATGGGCCAAAAAGTCTGAGTCCAAGCTCATCCTTTCTAGCTTTTAAAGTTTCAAATAAACTAAAGGAAGCACACTTAAATAGAAAAACCTTTGCTTGGTGTGATGGAACATGCCTTTAGCCCTAGCACTCAGAAGGCAGAGGCAGGTGAATTTGAGGCCACAGAACATCCCAAACCACCTGAGACCCTGTCTACACACACCTACACCTACACACACACACACACAGCAACAGATAACCTCATTCCACCAAATAAGAATAAGGGGTGGGAAATGGACAGTAACCAATTTTGTAAAAGAAAAATACTAAAATTGAAAACAAACTTTTCATGATGATCCATGGTGGAGTCTTTAACTTACAAATATGGAGACTTGGCTACTTGAAATTAATGGGGTGGGAAGACTATTATGGCAAATTATTTCAACCCTTAAATAAATATGAGATTAAGATTCTAAAAACTGAAATCCAAAATCATATGCATCATTAGAAGAAAGGACACTATAATTATCTTTAGGATATAACTGAAACCATGTATTTACCAGTAAAGGTTCACACCAATCCTTCATTTTTCACTAATTTGTGCAACAGATGAAGTATCTAGCTATGTTACTACTCAGTTGTGGGGTTTTCATAACAGCTTTATCTTTTAATGCAGGAGCTTTAGAGTGTGGATGTAAACTGAAAGACTTTGACATTTTCTCCCAAAAATTAGCTCTTAAGAATGACTTTAAAAAATAATTAATTAAAAATGTATTGTGTATAAAAAAGAAGAAAAGAGTGACTTGAAGAGCTATTTTATTTAACTTTATTAAAACAATGCAACAGATTGGGTCTAAATATCCCTACGGCTACAAATGCTAAAGATAAAACATTCAGATAAGAAAATTTCTGAGACGTGAAAAGCCCTTTTACCTTCTACTTCATACTCTATAAGCAGTGCTATCTATGTGTGATAGACAAGCTGCTCATGTCAAGTTCCTTGGAAGCTAAGACATCCACCTCTTGCTACTTTAGAAACTAATCATAGCAAGAACTCAATACAGACCTTTGGAAAAAATACACAAATAGGACCTAAGTTACCCACACAGTACTAGACTACTGATACTTTCCAACCTGCTCCTCATTAATCAAGTCTACTTCAACTTACAAACAGTGAAAAGAAATTTAGAACTCATAATGTAACCTTTCTACATTAAAAGTTACTGAAACATTAAGTTCACATGAAGATTCCAAACAAGGTCAACATGTTACTATGTATGTATGTAGGCCAAAGACGATAGTGCTTTAACTAGACTATGAGGGAAAATGACTGCTGGTGAATGTTACAACTTATATGTATATACAACAACTATTACCTTGTAAGTCCACCCAATTCCATTTTCTACAGCACAACGTAATTCTACGTTTCAAAACAAACAGTCCTACTCAGCTACAGTTCTGATTTCAACAGTAAATTAGTGTTACTAGTATTAGGTTAGTTATCCAATTGCATAATTATTCTACTCCAGAATGCGCCCTAATATCTCTCTCACACACATTTAGTAAGTATGTAACCAACACATCTCTATTTCTGACAGATTATCAGCAGTACTTTTTCTAAGTACGGATTCAAATGGCCATTTCACAAAATTAAACTTCCACTTCTAACAATCTTGCCAAACAAACCTGCAACATACATGGTTTGTTTTGATCGGAGGAGTTAAAAGAGGGACAGATATAAAATTATCAGATTTTCTTTTTTTATAAGGGCAGTTTTTAAAGGTCAGAGATGTGCACAAGACTTGGCTATCACACAACCTTAGCGATCAGAGTAAGCCCTTCCTGCCAGCGCCAGGGCTTAAGCACACATATGGAAATAGAAATGGCACCCGGTGGCGCTGCGGTGGAGGGAAAAAAAAAAAAAAACTGATCTGGATATCAAGAGACCTAGGTTTTAGTTTCTTGACACTCCCAAGTGACCTTGGGAAAACAACTCTTTCTAGAGGCTTGCCTGGGGAGGATTTCTTTTAAATCCCTAAAGAATGTGAACTTTTCGTGATTCCGAATAGGCTTTCGAAATGACCCTAATCAATTCAAGAGGGAAAAAAAAAAAGACCACAAGAAACAAGGTAATGAACCAGAGGCCCAAAGTGCAAAGTAGTGATTATCTGAGGGAAGTAGACCCTGACCCAGAAGGCCTCCGCGTGGGATCTGGAGCCAAACGTGCCTGAGAAGTGGGGTGGAGGTAGGCTAGCCTGGCTCAGGGCCCTGCCGGGAGGTGGAGCCGAGGTTCTCGCGTGCATTGTCCCCGGGAGGGAGCCATGTTTCCTCCACACGGCACTCCCAGATGGCGGCAGGGAGCGAGGGGGCCTCCCAAGCAGCCCGCGGGTCTGATAAGCCAGCGGGAGGCCAACAGAGGCGTAGGATCTCAAGACCTGAGAGGCCTGTGACCCCGCCACGCAAACATCAGGCGGCAGCCAGGGAAGACAGGCCGGGGCGACGGTTCCCGATCCGCGCCTTCCGCCGCCGCCCGGTTGAGTGGATAGGCCATGCCTAGACAGGGCTCGGGTAGCGGCTGCCGTGACCACTGACCTCCACGGCCTGGGCTGCGGGTAGCAGGCCTGGGCCCACGAACTCCCGGGCCTTGGGCAGGCCCTGCGCGGCGCGACCCGCAGCCTTACTCACCGTTGGCGCGCTTGAGGGCATTTTCCGGCCTCTGGAAATAGGCCGGCATCTTGGCGGTAGGCTCAGCTCACCCGGCGTCAGCGAACTCCCTAGTGGCCTGGACCGGGAGAGAAGGCGGAGGGGGGACTAGCGCGAGCTTCCACGCGCCTCGCCAGCAGTCGCCCGCGCCCAGCCGGCCAGAGACGGAAAGGAAGGAGCCACGTGACTCCCTCGCGGCGGCACCGCCGCCGCCCGAGCCCCGGATGTAGAAGGCTGGCCTCTGCGCATGCTCCGCCTGTCACTGCGCGCAGGCGCGCTGGTGTCTTAAGCGCGGGCTGACGTGGCGGCGGTTGCCGGCGGCGCGAACTGTAGTGAACCTCTTTGGGGCGCGGGAGGGGACCTTAGGGACAGTTTTCTCCTGCCAGCACTGCTCCAGAGAACGTAGGGTGGGAAAGGGAAATGTGTGATCGGATCTGCGACGAGAAAAGGCAGGGTCTACACAATCATTCCCAAAACGACTTGTGCGTAGGCAGGCCGTGTTAAGATAAGATCGCAACGGCAGGGGACCTCGCCTGGCTATCTGGAAAGGCTGAATTTACTTCACGGAAGTGCTGAGCAGTACTGAGAGCAGGTACCGCAAGCCCTTGGTGCTTACCGCCGAGAAGTAGGGCACCAGTCGCTTGACTAACAAGGAAGGGGAGGGAGCTTGGGAATTAGGAAGTTACTTGGTATCCTTGTAGGGTTAGTGTCACAAGGATTCCCGAGAGACAGCAAGTGGGAGCAGCGCTACACATAGCTACACAAAAGGCCGTGGAACATAGATAGCAGATTGTATAATATTTGAAAATAGGCGAGTGTCGTCGAATTTTACATACAGCCCACGTCACAAACAAATACAAGAAATGTGAGTTGGTGAGGAAAAGGTTTATTGCAAGCCATGTCTTTTATTGCTAATTAACAAATTTAGTATTCACAGATTACTATGCTTAGTGCTTCACAGCCATTTAAACCGCGTCAGGTTGTTAGGTTCTTGGTAGGAAATTAGGTTGATTTCAGGGCTGAGGATGTACAGTGGCAGAGTGCTCGCGTAGCATACACAAGGCCTTTACCTCAGTCCCTATAGGCCAGCACACAAAAGTTCAGAGGAAATTCAGAAGGAAAAGATAGAATAAATTATTGCAAGTTTATTACACATTTTACAATAATAAATATGGGATATGTGAATTAATGGGATACTGTATCAATGAATGAGAAATCCTTTCTTTAAAAAAAGATTCGGGAGGTGGTGACCCACATCTTTGATCCCAGCACTCAGGAGGCAGATTGAGTCCGAGACCAGCCTGGTCTACAGAGTTTTAGGACAGGCAAGACTACCCAGAGAAACCCTTTCATGAAAAACAAACTAATTTTAAAGCTATGTAAAGGTCTAAAGAGATGGCTCTACATCTTAAATCGTTTGCTAGTCCTGCAGAGGACCTTTAGTTCAGTTCTCAGCATCCATGTCAGACTGCTTATAACCACCTATAACTCTCCTTCCAGAGCTATCTTATCACCTCTGGCCTTCCCCACACCTTCATTCACATGTACATACCCACACAAACACATTAGAAACAATAAAAAAGAAACATGTTAAAGTTGATTTCAAGAGTTCTTCCTAAAGAATGCTTAGGCCATGCTAAATGCACACAATTTTACCTCCCAAAGTAAATACCAGACAGGGTTGCTGAAAAAAAAAAACGCCAGTACTAAGAAGCTTTAGCAACTGTTTTATGGACATGATCAAGGGATCTCTTTGCGTATATTATAATTAAGTCAGGTTTTAAAAGCCAAACATAAAGAGCAAATAGTTCTTTCATGCAGTTTTTATTACATAAAAACTACTTCATAAACTAAAGAAAGATGCAAACAATAAAAAGAAACTTGGCCTAAATATTAGAAAAGGCTTTCTCACATTCTTGAATTCATTATCATAACAGAAAATAGTAAAATATAAGCTGAAGAGATGGCTTTGCACTTAACAGCACTTGTTGCTCCTGAAGAGGATCTGGGTTTGATTCCAAGCATTCACATAGTGGATGACAGCCCTGTATCAAAAACTGCAGTTCTCCAGTAACTGATGCCTTCTGACCTCTGCAAGCACCAGGCCCACACACAATGCACATACATACATGAAAACAAAATACTCAAAATCTAAAGAAAAAATTAAAGGTAAAATGGATTCAGCATTTTGGTAGGCCCACAGTCAGGTGAACACTAGAAAATTAAAAGATGAAGTGAGCTGGGTGGTTGTGGCACACGCCTTTAATCCTGGCACTCAGGAGGCAGAGGATCTCTGTGAGTTCGAGGCCAGCCTGGTCTATAGAGTGAGTTCCAGACAGCCAAAATTACAGAGAAACCCTGTCTTGAAAAACAAAACAAACAAAAAAGAAGTGAAATCAAATATCTCTCATAGTGATAAGTTTACCTTCATATTATTTAAAGCATATGAAGCAGTGGTGATAAAATAGCCAATCATTTAAGTGCATTGATTGAAATTAGTCAAATTAGTAATATACAGTGACTGGTATCTGTAGTCCCAGCCACCCAAAGCCTAAGACAGAAGGATTGCTTGAACCTAGGCATTGAAGACCAGCTGGGCAACTTAGAAAACACCATTTCCAACAATTTATTTAGAATCTGGTACTCTTTGTTAATTAACGGAATAATATTGATTACCAGGGTAAGTACATTCCACCAACAGGTTTTTGACACTAACTAGCAGCCATAATGTTAAGTGTTAGAGATGATGATACTGAATGCTTCCCTGGTAAAATATATATGTTTATACAATGAGAATTGAGATAAGATCTAATTGGACCAGGAGAAAAGCCTAATTGTCTAATGATTAATGCTTATTTAGCAAGAAAAAAAACTTGAAGATATGTTTGAAACCATCCAGGCATGGTGAAAGCTGATGATTTTTCTTCCTTGTCAAGTTTCTTTTTTACTTCCTGAGATAAATTCTCTAATGCAATGTAGGGAGTATTTTTTTTAGAGTGGTTTGGTGGTTCTTTTTTGTTTTGCTTTAAAAATAGAATTTCACTATGCAATAAAAACATTCCAAGCTAGCCTAGAATTTTTAATTTTTCCATCTTAGCCTGTAGTGCGCTTAAACTATAGACATGCACCACCATGCCTAACATCATGTTTATCATTTTATTTTCAATAATACGGCAATGTACTTATAAACTATGATTCACAGTAATGCATTCAACAAATCTTTATCAGGTGTGTACCTGGTGCCAAGCATAGTAGATAAACATTTCTGATAAGTGTAAGGGTTACAACAGTAAACAAAATACTCTAACTTCCTACCTAAGGGGGCTTTGCAGTCTTAGGAAAAAGCCATACTTCAAACACTCACCATAAGGTCTGTGAAGACAGACACCAGTGCAGTGCAGATTCATACATCTCTCCAGGGCCACACACTGCCTTTCAGTACTCTAAAGGCCCTCCCCAACTCCAGCCATCACTACATAGCCTGGCTGGCCAGAAACAGAAATCCATCTGCCTCTACCTCATAAATTCTGAGAATAAAGATTCCTACCTGTAATGGAAGTTTTGGTTTCTTTGTAAACTCAGCTATGTCATGTAAATGTGTTTTTATTTTAATCCCAAGTGTGGGATTTTGTTTGGACTGTAGTTTGTCCACAGCTGTTAATTGTCTCGTGTGGGGCAGGGCTTTTGCCAGCTGGTAATGGTCTTCCACATGCAGCTTGGAGAAGGGTGTGGTCTAGGACGCTGAGGATATAAATTTGAGAGCCCAGAAGGTGTGGTGTGGCGTAACATTCGGTGTTGGCATATTGTGTGTAGCAGTTTGGAGAGACCCAAGAGACGGATGGTGTGGTGGTTTGGAGCAGAGAGAGAAATGCTCTGGGCAAAGGGTCTTGAAGGACACTGTTGTTGATGGAGATTAGTACAGCCCTAAACAACTGGGGCCCCTCTCCCCACTAACCTTCTCTCTCCTACGTAGGATTGGAAGTGAGGTTCAGGCTTAAAACACCCCCAAATAAAGACGAGTTTTAAAAAAATGAGCACTACACCTACCTACCTAACCCTACCCTTGCCTCATTCCTTGCTTTTAAAGCCAACCTTCTCATTCAGGTTTTGCTTAAACGTCACTTCCTCCATGAATCTTCTTTAGTACCAGATATGGTTAGATGCCAACACTTTGAGCTTTAGCTGGCTGTGTTGGCGCTTTAATCCCAGCACTTCGGAGGCATAAGCAGGCATCTGTGAGTTTCAGGACAGCAAGGACTACAAAGAGAGAGCATGTCTTTCTCTATATATTAAATATTAATAACACCCTGTCTTATCCTTTGTCATACGTAAGAGTGGAGAAGGACCAAAACTTTGTATTGTTCACTGATATGTCTGAAAGTGTGGCAGAATAACAGATAAGCTTCTTACAAACTAATCATGAGAAATTAACAAATGAAACCCCATATCAGTATTTAAGTTAGACTGTTTCCAGCTCCATCTGTAGGGAAGAACAAGGTTGAAAGCCCAATATGTAACATCTTTAGTTCTTAGCACATCTGTTTATCTACTTCCAATTTTCCATATTCTTTAAGCACCAGCTTACAAGTACAAATGAAAATACTGTTCTCTATACAAAGCTCCAAGATGCACTGGTTCTGAGCCTGTAACAACACTGAAGTCCAATTGTGATTTTTTTTCCCTGAGTGTGCAAAGATAGTGTACTTTCCTATACCTGATTACCAACACCCTAACACAATACTTCAAGCTCCAACTCAAAGCCTTCCACTACCAAACCATTCTTGACTACAGGGTATCTTAGCTGCTCCACTCCCTGTGGTCTTTACCCATAACACTATTAAACTCCATCACTGGACCCATCTCTCTGGCCACCCTGTCCATCTTTCAACCCTCTCAAAGAGCTGGCTGAGTTTTTTCTTCAGTCTGCTGGCCCCCAGGGGTATGATCAGAGACCAACTACTCCCAGAGCATTCTCTTTCCCTCCTCCCCCAACTCTGAACTTTGAAGTGCACTACTTTCAGATTAGACTAAAGCTTTTTATGGGATTATGTAACTGAGTGTGGTAGTTGCAAAATGTTTGAACAAGCACAGCTCAAACTCAAATATAGAGTGAACCTGGGGTTACTGGCAGAGCCAGCCCATGTTGCATCCTACAGCCTAGGTTTTGAACATGTGCACTTTGCACATGCTTTTATACCCA